TTGTTTTGTTTTATCTTTGTTTTGGTTGTTAAGCCACTAAAACTGACTTATGAATGATAAAATCAAAAATCAAAATATTACAAGCAGCCTGTTACAACAAAAACACATTTTCCGCCATTTCTTTAGTTCAATCTATGGGAAATGCCGAAGATAACACAATTTGATTCAGATAAAATAGTATTGTTGCACCAACACGATCAATCCCAAAGAAAGATTAGTTGAAAACTTGGTATAGCTCAGCACGGTGTGTAGTATGACCTAATTGGACAAGTGGAGGAAAAAAGAAACATTAGCAGGCTTAAATCACTACCTACAGCAGATGAACAATGTCTGAAAGTCATGTCATTAAGAAACAAACAAACACACAGAAACAAACTGACACAGGTCCTGAGAGATGCCGTTCTGGCCTGTCAGTTGATTCATCAACTGTGCACTGAAGCCTCATCTGAAATGGTCTCAGTGGTAGAGTGGCTGTCAAGAAACCTGGTTTCCCTTCCTTTTTAAGGATGCAAAATTAAGATACAGAATACAAAGAAATAAAATACCTCGAATACCAAACAATGATGAATAACTAGAAATGAACAAGTAATAGTAACCAAAATTGAAGACAAAGGAAAACATGAACCTAAAAATATATAAAAACTATATGAGAATGAAGGCTACAGAAGTAATGGAAAACTGGACTATAAGGACGCTAAACAACAACAACAACCCAAAACATAATCAGACAAACTATTTAATAAAAACCCATTATTGTTGACAACAACAAACAAAGACAGGACAGTGTAATAACCAAAAGTGTGGCTTTGTTTTCTAACAGCAGCACTGTGCCATAGAGGAATAATTAGCTACTGTTTCATTTTTCAGCATGGCAATGATCACAGACACATTGCCAATGTGGTAAATGCATACCTAGGTAAAAACATGAAATACTATGAGCCATAGATGGGCCTCTCCAGAGCCCGGACTTCAACTAAGGCAGCTAACATTCAAAGAAGAGCTTTGAATGTCCTTCAAGAAGCCTTGAGAACTATTCCTGAAGAGCTGTTTGTAAAGACATTACAAGAAAGCTTGACTGAGAGAGCTCAGCTCAAACAATACTGGATCATGAATCAAAAAATGCCCACTTGATGCTCACACCCACTTGCTCTTATTTCCATACCACATCCTCCATTCCTCTTTCTTTGTCATCCTCTCTTATAGGTACGCAACACAGGAGCCAATGAATATTCAGTGAGGCATTCACAACCAAAAGGGGGGTAAAAAATGCAAAGAGCTGATTAACACTGTACTTCTTGAAGTCAATATATGCAATTTTCAGCATAGATTTATTATTTTCATTTCATACTTTTTCAGCTGTGTTGTTACATACATATATAACATCATATAAAGCTAACTAAGAAAAGCTCCACTTCAACTCATGTGGGCGAAACTGACAAATAAATGGAATAAATGACTGAGCAGTTTTCCATGAACAAAAGTTCAATAATTTCTTAATCTGAGAAGATAAAAAAGGTGGAGCAATAGAGGCCCTGCTGTCCAGAATGTTCAAACACATTTAAGTGACATGCTTAAGTGTTTGTCATATGCTTTGTACCATTAAGAGCCTGGTAAAACAGAAAACAAGATAAGGAAACTGGTTGGAACAGACTCTTACGTAGGAAGCTGTAAAATGGCAAGAGAGATATGGCCGGGGAAGGGGACGGTTTGTATATCTTATGATAACATTTTATTTCCATTAAAAGAAACGAATGGACACTAAATACGTGTGGATGCGAGCAGAGAGCTGAATGCAAGAAAGGAATTCACAGTAATGAAGACTGAAACATCTTTTATTATTTCTACTTGTTGCTGTCACTTCCAGGTGCCCATCTAATGTACTTTGTCAATATGCATTAGCTGGGCAAAGGCATCCTGGTGAATGAAGGTAACCAGGCAACTGTTTTCAGACACTTGAGATTAAGCCAGTGCACTTCCCCCTTTGTACGTTTATGTTCATAGTGCAGAGCTTGTAAGGAGCCAGATGTTTCCTACAGATAGTATGAAATGAAGCTTCTAGTAATTGAACAGAAACACAAACCGAATTTGAAATATGTTTTAGGTTTTTACCATGCAGATAAATACAGAATTATTAGCCCCCGTATGAAGTTCAAGGTTTTAGTCAAAATTTTCACAGGTGTTTTTTTTAACAGAGCAAGAGATTTTCAACATTTCCAGCAGAGTGTTTTTTAAAATACTAGTTTTCCTTAAAAAACAGCATATTTGGAAAGCATAAATGATTTGTATTTGCACAAAATGAAATAATTATTCCAGAAAAAAACTGTGGTTAATATTATTAGCCCAGAGAAAACTGTTCATTTTATGGAACCGTAACACAAAACACTGCAGTGCAAGGATATTATTTAACTTTGTAAAGCTCAACAATTGTCAAATCAATTGGCACTGAGAAAGCATCATACCAAAAACAAAAGAAATCAGTTTAGACTTAAGAAAAAAAAACGGAAAAAAACCCCCCTGCTGATCCTTACATAGTAGGAGATGGATATACAAAGCATTTCCAAGTGTCAAGAACTGGAGTGTCATCAAAAAATTCAAAGAGAGTCGCAGAACAAACTTGGCAGAGGTAGGAAGCGAAAGAGTTCAAAGACTCTGGGAAGAAAACTTTGTATGAGATGTGCCTAAAGACCCCAGAACAACTCTAGTGACTCAGCCACGTCAGGAATCATAGTTATGATTATAGTGAATTATAAGATAGTCGCTAGGACAGGAATGGACTGCAAGGTTGCACACCAAAATAAATTCAAAGCTGGTTTTGGGTTGTTGCTTTGTCTTCCAACACAACAACCAAAAACATGCGATGCCCCTGGTGAAGAAAATCTGTGGACTGAACTGAAGACCAAGGTTCATGCCAGAGGACCATCAGATCTGGAGGAGCTTGAGAGATTTGCTAAAGAAGAATGAGCTGGGGTTGCTCAGGAGTTGTGTGTGAGACTTGTTGAAAACTACAAGACTGCAGCTTGTCCAGCAAAAATGATACACAACTGATTATTAGCATCTGGGGTCTAATAATTTTCTGTTTTACAGAAACATAAAAAAATAATAAATTGGTAGTGACCATCACTGTTAATTTAGGGCAGCTGTTGAATAAACCTTATATTGAGTGATGATACTATAAAAATGTTTTTATGTATTAATTTTATCTTTATATCTGTGAATTAAAAGCCATGCTGAGATGGCCATCTACTTGACAAAAAGGGTGGAAACAGGAAAAAGCCTGACAATCGTTAAAGTGAGCCCTGTTTCCATGAAGTTCAATTATGGCTTTAATGCCATCATTTCAAATAAATAACTAATACGCCCACTAATTTAAAAAAAAAATGCCTGTATGTGGCACCAACATGGACACAGAGTGTGTTGCTGCTGTTGACTATCAAGACTAGAGAAATCATTGATGGACGGGGTAATGGGAATCACAGGTAATTCTCTTTTATGATGGGATATTTCACAGTTGAACCAACAGTTGATACGAAATGATCCAGCCGTATCAGCCTCCTTACGGAAATATTGAAATACATCCGGCTGTTGAAACATTTTGTTGGGGAATTTTTAAAGGCTTGTTTAAAAGAATCAATATGACCTTTCACATTACAGTAATACAAATGTGTTGAACAACAAACTAAATAAAAAGGTTTATTTTCACACAAACAAGTGTGAGGAGAGGGGATTTTCAGGCCTTTCTGACTATTGTGGAGCTGTAGTTCAAACTAAAGCTCGCACTGAGCTGTGTTTGTCCAAAGGCTTTTCTCAGGGACGTCATTCAAACTGTAATCCAGTAAACATATTCATTAAAGGCATCTGGCTTTATAATAATTAAAATCCAGCAGGTTATTGTTATAGCTTTGGTAGTATTTTTTTATTGTTAATGTATTTGTTTATTTTTCCTATTTCCTTGCATTACTGCACATCATTTTGTTATATAGTTTAGTTTATAACCAAAAGTTGTAAGCCCCCCGTCAGAGATATTCTGAGCCTGGAGAAACATATTAATCTTTAACCAGTAGTTATCGTGGCAGCTGGTGCTTTTAAGCCGGATCTTTATTACTCAGAGCAGCAGGATATGCTTGGAGCGTGTCTGCATTTAGAGGTGCTGCTCTGCTCGGTCGAGTAAACATATGTGTATATACACACGTTTCACTAAGATGCTGGTTTTTGGCTATTAAGGTGGCTGGAAGGAGCAAACATATTTAACTCGTACACTGTATTTAACGAAAAGCAGTGTATTATATTCAGAAATTAAAGGGACTTTTTGTTTGTTTGTTTTTATTTCCCATTTACATTTTTGCTTTGCTGTATTCTAAATAAAAGAGGATATTAGCAGGTTATTATTTGATATAGATTGACTTGTATGTGAAGAAAGACTGTTTATTTAGGAAATATGAGAAAAAAACTTTCTTTAACTACAATTTGGTGCATGAGATGCTCTTTTGATCTTCAGCAGATAATAATGAAATATGGCAGGAGGTGGATAAAGAAAACAGAGCTTCTCTTGTGCACCGCTGAAATTATACATACTCAAAGGTGAAATGGAAAAAAGCCCATGTGAGCTTTCTGGGTTTTATATATATTTTTGATCACAGAAAAGGTCAGGAAGAGGACAAAAGGCTTAGGAGAAATGGAGATGGGAGCCATCTCACTCCAGCGGATGGTACAACCACATTAACAAATTAATCACTGACAGGCTGTAAAGGGATATTTTTAAATGCGTGTTTTGTTTTTAACTTTTTCTTGGTGATTTGGACTTTTTTATTAAATAAAAATGTCTCTGTCCCAGGCTCAGTTTGTAATATCATGGTGTAACTCATCCTAAATTTAAAATTGAAAACGTACTCAAAAAATGTACTCGAGACAGATAAAGTCAACTTTTTCCATAATTTAATTATTACAAAATCTTCTTTTATAATACAAAAATTTAAATAAATAATTCAGTACATAAAAAAAAAAACTGCCAAAGTACTTCACTTTATAAGGTTACAATGCTTGAAAGAGGCAAATCACAATCACCAAGCAGATAGTCTCTTTTCAGAGTGGACATTTTGTTCACGACTTTAAAGCGAAGGGACCGCTGGCTGAGGTCTTCCTCTGAGATACCATCAAAGAAGAAATCCTCATTGAAGATCGGATTACGGCTCTTTCTGATGACAGTGCTGCGTTGCTTCTGGATTTTTCCGGGAATCAGAGACAGGCTGACACTACAGTTGATAATCTTGGGGTCTACAGACAGAGGATAAAGGCCCTCTGCACTGATGAGTCGAACTCGCAGTCTTCGGTTATCTGGACAGTATTCTGCTGAGAGTCTCAGACTGCCCTCTTTTCCAATGGGCACCATTTTTTCCTTCATGACCCTCTCTCTATGCAGAATCAAGTCCATGGGGAAAATGGTGGGTGGTGCCAGGCTGTAGTTGCTGGGCAGCCCTTCAGCCAACCCCTCTGATGCCCTCCTCATGACATTGGGGCTGTTGTCGGTGGAGCTGCCTTCATCTGTGGACAGGGAATTGTTCCTAGACACCATTGCTTTCCTTATGTTCCTTGACAACAGCAGTTCATGGCTCAGCGCTTTGAAGAGGGAAGACTTGGCAGGGCACCTGGCCAGCAGCGGCGAGCTGAAAGGAGAGGATTCAGTAGAGGAAGTGGTATCACTGTCTAGAGTGGTCTGCCAGTTTAGGGTGTAGCCTCTTGGGGAAAGCCTGGAGGTCAGGCTGTTAAGGCTGAAGGAGGAAGGAGAGGAGGAGGGCGAGGTGGAGGGGGTGAGTTTGGAACACATGCTGGATCGACTTCTGGGCAGCAGCAGGGGAGAAGAGCCTGGATCAGAATGGAAAATTGACTCCTTTCTTCTTGTGTGGGGGCTCTCTAGTAAAGTGCAAAAGCCATAGCTGGTCTGGGTTTTGGCTAAGTGTGGAAGCGATAAGGCAGCCTGGCTCTGAGGGTCTGCATTGGTGCTCTCTTCATCACTGCAGCCATCGTAGGGGCTCTCATCCACACTTTCTACCTGAATAATGTGTTGGTTGAACGGCTCATGAAACGTCATCTCCGTCTCAGGGCTGGGTCCTTCACCTGGAGGCACCTTCATAATGCGAGCTGCTCGGCTTTGCTCCGTGTTCTTCTCCTGCAAGGACAGGATCGTTGGGGGAATGCAGAATTCTGGGATGTTGTCAGGGGTGATGATATTAGGACAAAGAGAAATCCGTTTGGATTTGTCAGCCTTTTCTCCCAGCATGATGTCACCAAGTTTATAGCTGAGTTCTGCTGTCAAGGTAGGCAGGCTAGTTCTCTCCACTGACATGCGGATCCTCTCCACCATCCACATGGGTCCTCTGGTAGAAATCCAAAACTCTGTGAAAAAATAAAATAAAATAATACTTGAGTTGCTGAATTATGTTTTGAAATCAAATGCATTCACAAATAGTCAGGATATCCCCAACAAGTACTTGGCAGGAAGGTTTTCTTACCTTATATTCTGGGGCTATGGATAATCCACAATATTATCCCAAAAAAGGACAAAAGCTCCAGTAAGGTGCTGAAAGATAGAGAAGTTGTAAGGGCTCTCTTGACAGCAGATGGAGGTCCTGCAGATCTGTGGCTCTTTGAGAGACGCAGGCGGTTTAAATGTAGCAGGAAACCAATAAATCTAACACACGCCTCCAGCTCAAACAGGATCCTCCTGCTCTCCTTAGCCGCTGGTTCCCATGGAAATATCCGAACCACAACAAAGCTCAGTGTGCCTGTAGTGGCTGCCGTGCTGTTTAGCAAGATAAGCGTGTTACTGTACTTTGAAAGTGAGCAGCTGGTTTTTAAACAAACTGTTTTTAAACAGACTTCTAAATCAGATGTTTGTTTTTCCATGGAAATTAAATTAGAATGTGGGCTTTACCTTGTTCTAAGAACATAAAAAAGGTGATCTGTTTGATAAGAGTTCTGAACACAATTAAATAATAACTCTTGCCATTGATGTCTAAATTGCATTGTCAAAAGTTCAGGACACAAAACTGCCTTGCGTATTAACTTTAGGAGACATCGTTTGGTTTAAAGAGTTTAAGAAAAATAAGCAACCTGGTTTTTAATATAATGCCGATGAGTGTTTTAATGAAATAAAGGTGGAAATTTCTGTTGTTTGAACCAGGTGAGGTTGTTTATATTTGCACTCTTATCAATGTCACACTTTTATGTAATGTGGCAATATGCATCGAGCATATTGGTGATGTAATGATGCAAAAGTAATTTACTGCCATATCACTGCATCACCAATATTCCTGATGCAGTTTGCTTCATTACACACATGTCCTTATAAATGAGCCGAGTACATTTTCTGTCTTGAGAGTACTTTGAATGTTTATTTGAAATTTGAGAGAAAGATAGCTTTCCGCACTACGGGACTGGAGTTTTATGAAGGAAATCATCTGTGAAATTGGAAAAATTAAGAATGTGCTAAATGTGCTTGCTGTAACTCTTAAAATGATTGCAAGAATTGCAACAATATTTTCGATGGCATTAAAATACAGGATCTTTAGAATCTCTCAGGAAAATAGATTTTTTTTCACCTAACTTCTATCTTTACATTACTTTTCTTGGTTAAAAAGATACAATCTGGAGAACTCGAGACCCCAAAAATAAAAAAATCCCATAACCTGATTCTTTTATATACAGATCTACTGTATTTATATCAATATGTTATAGATATACAGAGTATTTATCTATAAAAGATGACGTTTGATATACTGAAGAAGGTCCTATTACAAATCTGGCTTTTGAAATATCAATATCATAATTAAACAAAGGCCAATGATAACATTTATTGGTATACTGAACATTGCTCTTTAGATCTTCACATATCAATGCAATGTTATGTCAATGCTTCCCTCTTGTGGTGAGACAGTTTGACACCTAGATTTAATTTTTCTTGGACAGCACAACAAAAGTTAGCTTTAACTATTAGTTAAACTCAAAAACTGCAGAAGAAAACCTACATCAGTTTTCTCTACCCTTTTTTTTTAAATTACCTGGTACTACTACATCAAAGGCAGTTTGACCATCTTCATACTGAAAAGACCCAAGTGGAAAAAAACTCCACTCTGAACACGACAAAGTTCAAGTGGAGTAACTTGGTTACTGCGTGTTACCAGGCAATAAATGACAGGATGATGTCAGAGCTAACGCTGTACCTGGAAAGTGTCCTAAACGAGAGTCGCCACTTAGAAATGTTTGCCAAAATGTTCACGCCGCATCACTAATTCACACGTACCTTTCGAACACCTTGTACCCTTTATAGTATTGTATTATTTTGTGAAGTGAAGGCTCACATTGGATAGCGTGAGAAAATGAAAAAACAAAGCAAACACATTTTGATTGGGCTTTGTAGACTAGGATAATCGGTCCCGCTGTGATATTTTAATAGTCTTTTTGGAATACCAATCATCCATACCTATTTTGCAAAATACCGACAATACTTTTCACTCTGTCCGAGTCCATCCCTTATTTTCTCAGAGATGAGCATGTCCTTGTATTTCCTGACCATAAATGCTTCCATATCTCCATTAGGGGGTAGTATATGTTTAGAAAACAATAGTGCACCCACCGATAGGGGAGGTGCTGGCCATATTGATACATTAAATAATATTCTCATTTTGTCGCTAAAATATATCTTAATGCCTTATCTTAATTTGACTGCTTGATTATTGGGTTAGTGTAAGTGTAATTAATCACGAAAAAACAGACAGATACTCTTTTTCAATGTTGTGTGGGATGTACGTTCCTGCACGTTATAGCAAGACTTGTGGAGGTTGCCCCCACTTTAAACATAAACCTCCATGCCAGGCTTCCATTAACGCTTAGTGTGAAGACACGCTTTTGGCAGGTGCTCTACACTGCACAAATTAAAGCATTTTCAAAATAAGAGAGGTCAGTCTCTCAGATCTTCCGTGCGTCTATCCCTGTGCATGATTGCCAGGTTAATTTTATCTGCTCATCGCACTGGTAAGGTTGTAAATCTGTCTTCGTCGGGATACATATTATCTGACACTGTGCGTGAGTGTGACGCCGCTTCCTTTTTGCGGCGCACAGATTTGTGGTCTTTTTTTTCTTCTCCCCCCCTCATCCTTCTCCACTGTACGATAAACGAGGAGGGGCTTGATGCCGTGGAGGAGGGAGGCAGTCAGGCTGAGCTGACCCGCTTGCGGTGTGTGTCGCTTCGCCTACATTCAAGTCAGCTCGCATGCACTGACGAGTGAGGGACATCAGGTAGGATTTTGCCTTTTAAGAGATTCTATCCAGTTTCTTTTTAAATCCTGGCGTTATTCTTCAAGGTGCTGTTCCTCCCAAATGATCTCACTACAGGGAGGCGGACCGCTCGATGTTGGCTCAGCAGAAGCGCTGGCAACATTTCACATGAGCAGTCTGCAGACGACCTTTTCACTTGATTAGTGTGATGTTTTCCACTCTGGTATTTCCTTTTGCTCTTCTTTGGACCTGACATCTGTCGATTCGTTTGCGCGTTAAAATAAGACTGGTAAATCTAGCCCATTTCTTCGCCTACTGTATAACTGATTGCTTTTGACATTGACAGATAAGAGGTAACAGTATTTGATTGACCCACTTGTTTGGCGTTGGTGTTGCATTTTAAATATCTAGGCTTCCCCAGTTTCGTCCTTAGAAGTACGCTAAATGGGTAACTAATGCTGCTCTGCTCCAGCATCCTCGCTGCTCTGCAAAAAAATGTTTTGTACAGTAACTTGGACTTGACCTGAATGTTATCTGGATCGGCTCAACATCAAAGCTGACATTGACGATGTGTAGTGCGCATGCAGGGATGTAGCCACTGGTGAATGACTTACTGTAGGTTAATGAAAATGTAGGGAGAATAAAATACTGGTCAGTATGTTAAGACTGTTAACGCTTGCAGGGACTGTTGTGCTTTGCCTCAGTTTTAAAAATCTGATCATTAATTCATCTTAGAAGAAAGATTAGTGCTTTTCCCTCGTCTGATACCTTTACCAATCCTCAGAGTGAACATTCACCTTATTTTCTCCATGATGCCAACAGGGAAGACGCATAACTTCTGAATGAAGGACACGTCTCCTTAACCATTAGAAGCCCTTCTGCCTCATACAGATTCGCTGTGAAGAGAGCTTTTTTGAGCTATGGGCTATGTGGGTGTTTCACAGATACAGCTGTCAATGCTGCTTCAGCACAGTGACTCTGGGCTGAAGGTGCCAAACTGTAAATCCCCGAGATGGTTTTACATTGAGTAACATGGATCATATGTGTTTTTACTGGTTTGACTCATATAGCAAACCACGTTAGCTGCAGACTTGCACAGCTTCTTTTCTCTGTAATGGAAAAACTGTTTTTTGTTGTTGTTGTTGTCGTCTCGTTTTTAAAGTCCATTTCCTCTTAAGTATATAATACAGCAGCTGTGCATTTACCACAAGAGGCATCCTGGATATTGATGGTCAATTCAAGGATACCGATGCCGTCAGGGAGTTTCAGACAGTGGAGTGACATGTTTTACCTGAGTGATGTGACTAGAAAGGTCAAGCTGTCTCAGCGTGATGTCGACAGCTGAGATTCTGGATGGCTTAAAGGCATCACTGGCATGCTAGAGCTTTGATTCCAACTGGGAGTACCCATCCTTAAAATGCACTCCCAAATGGTACAGTAAGGCACTAGAGAGTGTGGGATAAAAGCTTCCACCAACCACACATTTCCAGCAAGAAATGGTGTAGGAGTACCTCTGTAGTGTGTTTAAAGCACCACTAATGCAAAACACTCTTGCATTTTACAAGGTATTTTGTGTGCCTTCCTGACTTTGTATCGCTTGGTCTTACTTTAAAGTGTAAGCATCATATATACAGCTTTATATTCATGGTAATTTGGGGCTTTAAATGGTTTCATTTAACTGTTAACTGCACAGCATACAGCTTTAATGACTTTAACAAGAATTGGGTGCACAAGTTTGAATTTATTGGATTTTTCTCTAATCTTGCATTAGAGTTGGACAAAAAGGAATTTTATCCCCAATTCTTTTAAATCTTTATGTTGATGGCTTGTCAAAGAAGCCGAGAACCCGTTAAACTTGGTGCAAGGTTGATAGTCTTTTAGCGAACCATATGATGTATGCAGATGATCCTGTGGTCTTTAGTCCTTGTAGTGCTGGTCTCCAGCAGCTCATCCACATACAGTGGTGTGGAAAAGTGTTTGCCCCCTTCCCCATGTCATATTTCTTTCTATGTTTGTCACACTTAAATGTCTCAGATCACCAAACAAATTTAAATATTTAAGAAAGAAAACATAAGTAAACACAAAATGCAGTTTCTAAATAAAGGTATTTTGAAACTGCTATCTGTGGTGTATCCCACAGATAGCTAAATTCAAACAAAGTGAAGATCTCTCAGTCTAGAAAAGGTTATAAAGTGATTTCTAAAGCAGTGGGACTCCAGCAAACCACAGTGAGAGACAATATCCACAAATGGCAATAACATGGCACAGTGATAAACCCTGAGTGGCTGGCTGACCAAAATTAGCCCAAGAGCACAGCGGCGACTCATCCAAGAGGTCACAAAAGACC